CCCTGCTCTCCCCCTCTCCGCTCTCTCCCCCTCTTCTCTCTCAACCCCCGCCTTTCTCGCCTCTCTCTGTCCTTCTCTCTCTCTTTCTCTCTCTCTCAGATCTCTCATCTCTCTCTCTCTCTCTCGTCTCTCTCTTTCTCTCCTCTCTCTCTCGTCTCCTCTCCTCTATCATATCTCTCTTATCTCATCTCTCTTTCTTTCCTTTCTCACTCCATCTCTCTCTCTCTCTCTCTCTCTCTCCCCACGTCTCTCTCACTCTCTCATCTCCTCTCTCTTCACTCCTCTCTCTCCTTCTCTCTTCTCTCATCTACCCTTCTCTTCTCGTCTCTCTCTTCTCTTCTCTTCCTCTCTCTCTCTCTCTTTATCACGCCCCTTCTGTCTTGGCCTGATGGCCGCGGGCCGCGTCCCCCGCCCTCCGCCGCGCCCTGCCCCCCCGCCCCCGGCTCTATCTCTCCTCTCCTCTCTCTACTCTCTCTCCTCGCTCCTCTTTTCCCGCTCCCTCTCCTCGTCCCTCCCCTCGCCTCTCCATCACTCTCTCATCTCTGCCAGTTTCCCCCAATCGTTTTCGATATCATTATCATAACATTCCACTTTCAGGCAACCGCCTGCTCAGTCAACCCCCCTCTCCCTGTCCCCCCCTCCCCCTTTCTCTTCCCCTTTGTCCGTCTCCCCCCTCACACCCCTCCATCCCCCCTCTCTCTCACGTGCATCCCTGGACCCACCCCCCCCACCCCAATGTCCGGCCGATGCGTGGCGTGCTTTGCGGTGCGTTGAAGGTGCGTTGGGGGGGTGGTGAGGGGGGGCGTGGGTGGTTGCGTGGGGGGGGGTTTTTTGGGGTTGAGTGAGTGGTCGAGTGTAATGTGGAAACCAACCAGTGCGGTGCGTGGGGTATCTGGCGTGTGGGCTTTGGTGGTGGTGGTGTGTGTGTGTGTGGTGTGGGGGTGGGGCGGGGGGGTATACGTTGTGTGTGTGAGTGAGGAGTGAGTTAGTGGGTTAAATGGGTTAGTGAGTGAGTGAGTGTATGTGCTCGCGGCGTGTGTGCATGCATGTTTGCGCGTGCACTACACCGTCAATGCCAGTCTCGATTTCGACAAAGCAATGCGCCCAAACCGCACGTGTGTCGACGGAGGCGCGTGAATGGACGTGCGCCTGCCTGCCTGTGTGCGCGCTTACCTATGTATGCATGTGCGCCGAAGCTAGGGGCGAATGTGTGCATGGCAGGTCGGAAATGCCGTCTCTGCTGACTAGTGTGTTTTCCTCCTGCCTGCGACACCTACCTCCCGCTGGCCTCCCTCCTCCATCCCCTCTCCTCTCACCACCTCCCTCTCCTTTTTCCCCTTCCCTTCCCTCCCCCCCTCCCCTCACCTCCCTCCCTTTACTCACTACCCTCCCCTATCCTCTCTCCCCTTCCCTCCCCCCTCCCACTCCTCTCTCCCTCTCCTCTCTCTACCCTTCTTTCCCCCCTCCCGCATTTCTTCTTTTCCTCTTTCCCTTCCCTGTTCCTTTCTCCCGCTCGCCACTTTCCTCGTCCGCTATCCCCCACCCCACTCCTCCCTCTCTTCCGTCCCCCTCCCCCCGCCCCTTCTGCTTTACCGGCCAGACCACGCCCCTTTGCTCGGTCCTTTTCCCCCCCATGTACTGCACTTTCATGAATTCTCGTTTTGGCTTTTTGGCGATGAGAAAAGTTTTTTTTTTCTGGTTATTGTTACCATTCTTTAATTTGTTTTTATCTTCCGTATATCAACTTCCTCTTCAGTTTGTCTATACTCTCTAGCTCACAATCTCTCCTTCTGTGTTACTCACCTTACTCTTGCTCTTACTACTTTTTTGTTGCTCGCTCTTCTTTCTCCTCCTCCTCCTCATCCTTCAGCCTCATCTTGTATTCCTCCTACTCCTCCTACTCCTACCTCTCCCTCCTTCTCCCCTCCCCTTTCTCCCCCTCTCCCTACCCATCCTCCTCCTCCTCCTCTTCCTCTCCTTCTCTTCCTGCCTCCTCCTCCTCCTCCTCTTTCCACTCTTTCCCCCTCGCTCCTCCCCCTCCTCCTCCTTCCCTGCTGCCTCTCCTTTCCCTCCTCTCCTCCTCCTTCCCCTCCTCCTCCTCCCTCCTTCCCTCCTCTTTTCTTCCCTCTTCCTCTTCTTCCCCCTCTTCCACCCCCTGTCCCTCCTCCTCCTCCTGTCCTCCTTTCTTTTTCCTCTTCCTCTCTTTCTCCTCTTCCTGCTCTTTCCCCTCTTCCACCTCCTCCTCCTCCTGCCTCCTCCTCCACCTCTTCCATCTCTTCTCCCTCCTCTTCCTCCTCCTCCTCCTCCTCCTCCTACTCTCCTCCTCTCCTCCTCTTCATTCTCTCCCTCCCCCTCCTCAATCCCCCTCCCCCCTCATCTTCCACCTTTTCCCTTCCTCCTCCTTTCCCTTTTCCTCTCCTTCCTGCCCCCTTCTCCCCTCCTCCTCCTCTCCCTTCCCCTTTCTCCCTTCCTCCCTTCCCTCTCCTCCTCTTCTCCTCTTCTCCTTCCCCCCTCCCCTTACCCCCCTCCACTCCTCTTCTCTCCCTCGCCTTTTCCTACTTCCATTTTCTCCTCTTCCTCCGCTCCTCCTCTCTCCTCCTCTCATCTCCTCCTGCCTCATTCCCCCCTCCTCTTTTCTCCCCTCCTCTTCCACCTTTCCGCTCCTCCATCCGCCCTCCCTTCCCCCTCTCCTCCTCCTCTTAACCCCCCTCCCCTCCCCCTTCTCGCTCCCCTTCTCTACCCCATCTCCTCCCCTTTCCCTCTTCTCCCTCCTCCACCCCCTCCTCTCTGTTTCCTTCCCCCCTGCGTCCTTCCCCCTCCTCCCTCTCACCCCTCCCCACTCTTCTCTCCCCTCCCTCTTCTACTTCTATTCTCCTTTCCTACTCTCCTCCTCTCCTCCTCTCCTCCCTCCTCTTCTCGCATCATCTCACTTTCCTCCCTCACTTCCTCCTCCTCCTCCATTCCCCCTCCTCTTTCCACAATTTCCCCTCCCCCTCCTTCCCCTCTCTTCTCCCCCCTCCTCCTCCTCCTCCTCCCTCCCCTTCCTCCTCGCTCTCCTCCCCTTCCTCCTCCCCTCCTCCCCCTTCCCCCTCCCCTTACTCCTCCTCTTCCTCCCCCCCTCCACTTCTGTCTCCCCCTCCTCCCCTTCCCTCCTCCCCTCCCCTTCTCTCCAACCCTTCCTCCCCTCTCCTTTCCCCCTCCTCCTCCACCCCTCCTCCCCTTCCCCTACTCTCCCTCCCCCTCCTCCTCCCCTTCTCCTTCCCCACCACTCCTCTTCTCTTCCTCCTCCTTCGTACTCCCCACCATTCTTCCTCCCCTCTGCCCCTCCTCCCCTCTCTTCCTCCCACTGCCTTCTCCCCTCCCTCCCTGCCTCCCTCCCTCCCCCTCTTTCCTTCTTTCTCCCAACCTGCTCCCTGTCCTCCCTTGCTCATTTTCTCTCTCCTCGCCCTCCTCTCTTGAAGAGGTGGAGAGGGGTCCGTGGGTGGGTGCAGAGAGGATGGGGTTGTGGTGATTGATCTGGTTAATCAAGTGTCTTGAAGGAGAGGAGCTTGGTGTGTGGATTGTTGGGGGGTGGGGGGTGGGGGGAAGAGTAGTAGTAAGTAGGAGGGAGGTGTGGGTAGAAGAGTAGTAGGAAGGAGGGGGGAGGTGTGGGTGGAAGAGTAGTAGGAAGGAGGGGGAGGTGGGTGGAAGGGGAGGAGGAGGGGTGTGTTTGGTGGAAGAAGTAGAGGAGGGAGGTGTGGGTGGAAGAGGAGGAGAAGGGGTGTGGGTAGAAGAGGAGGAGGAGGAAGGTGTGGGTGGAAGGGGAGGAGGAGGAGAAGGTGTGGGTGGAAGGGGAAGAGGAGGAGGAAGGTGTGGGTGGAAGGGGAGGAGGAGGAGAAAGGTGTGGGTGGAAGGGGAAGAGGAGGAGGAAGGTGTGGGTGGAAGAGGAGGAGGGACGTGTGGGTTCTTCATTATTTTGCTCTCCTATCTTTCCATTCCCTCCCTCCATTTCTCTCTCTTTTTTTGACTGCCATGTTGACTCCCCTTGAATTCCTCCACTGCTCACTCCTATTTCTCTCTTGCTTTTACATCTTCCAACTCCCTCTGCTCCCCTCTTCTTCCTCCTCCTCCTCCTTTCCCTTCTCCTCCTCCTCCTCTCCTCGCCTCCTCTCCTCCTCCTCCTCCTCCTCCTCCTCTCCTCCTCCTCCTCTCTCCTTCTCTTCTCCTTCTCCTCCTTCCCCTCCTCTCCTCCTCCTGCCCTCCTCCTCCTTCCCCTCCTCTCTCCTCCTCTCCTTCCTCCTTCCCCTCCTCTTTCCCCTCCTCTCCCTCCTTCCTCTTTCCCCTCCTCCTTTTCCCTTCCCCTCCTCCTCCCCTCCTCCTCCCCCTCCTCCTCCTCTTTCCCCTCCTCTCCTCCTCCTCTCTCCCCTCCTCTCCTCCTCCTCTTTCCCTCTCTCCTCCTCCTCCTTCCCTCTCTCCTCCCTCTCTTCCCTCCTCCTCCTTTCCTCCTCCTCCTCCTCCTCTTCCTCCTTACCCTTCCTCCTTCTTCTCCCCTTCCTCCTCCTTCTTCTTCCCCTTCCTCCACCTTCTTCTTCCTTCCTCTCCTCTCTCCTCCCTCCCTCCTCCTCCTCCTCCTTCCTCCTCCTCCTCCTCCTCCTCCTCCTCCTTCTCCTCCTCCTCAAAAGTTAACATTGTTTAAAGTAGGTAGTGCATGTTTTAGGGAATGTGAGAAAGAATGGGTGAAAATGTGTGGATTACTGCTAATGAGTGAGTGTGTTGTTGACTAGTTAATGAGTGAGCTTGTGAAGGTTCATGTTATTGAGGGAACATGGGACAACTTGTGACACAGACAGATGGATAGACAGATGGATAGACAGGGGGCCAGACAGAGAAGTAGAGGATGTGGTGTAATGCATCTAAATTTTTATTTTTATTTTATGCTATGTTTTTTTTCCCATTTCCATTTTTGCAATGATAGCACTCCCGGTGGAATGGCAACACTGATCTGTTATTTTGTCTTGCAGAGCCGTGGGTAAAACATGTCTTCTTATCAGCTACACCACCAATGCTTTTCCAGGAGAATACATTCCAACTGTGTAAGTACAAGTTGTGTTATTTTGTGTACAGTGAAGTCTTATATATCTTTTATGCTCTTTAATTATTTCTGATTTAGATTGTGTCCTGTGCAAATATGTATGCATGTGCAAATTAAGGAATTGGAACCCAATCTGTAAAGAATCTCTCTGTTATGCTAATGAATACTTAATTTAACATCAGACCTCCCTTGCAGGTGCTAAGCCTGTCTGCATGTTATTAATTTATTATTAGTGTTTTTTCTTTTTTACTGGATTGTTTCCTCTTCTGCATATCAATGATATTCTCATAAGCGTTTTATCTTTTCACAATGTTAAAGCTGCTTAGGTGTTGAGGGTCTACAAGGATGTTACTGTTGTGTTTCGGTGTGTGAATTGCCTTATTCATTCAGTTATTTATTTATGCATTTCTTTATTCATTCATTCATTCATCTGTTTTAGAAGTGCCGCACGCATTGCTAACGAATAACAATGTTAGTATGTATTGCATATAGGCTTGACATTAGCTATTAATGTGACTACATATATCTAATTTATTATAGTGTATTAGAATCCTCAACTAAGTGGAAGAAAAAAAGTGCTAATGCGCCATCGGCAATTCATAAGGTTGGCAGGGATCTTGAAGTCCACCTGGATTATAGTTCCAGCTCTTGGTTCATATGTCAGGATTTTCTGCAGAGGCTTTAGTACAGTGTATTATTTATTTAGCTCTTGCAATAAATCACTGGTTGTTACATACATGCATTCCTTGTCCATATGTATATACTTAAAGCCCACAATGGTGTATATATCAACCCCTTGGTATTGGGTACATGCACTGTACTTTTGTTTTATTGGTTTTGTTTACTCATAGGTGGCTCCTCCTCCTTCCTCTTCCTTTTCCTCTTCCTATACTTTGTCTTCCTCTTCCACCTCCTCATCCTCATCCTCTTCCCCCACTTCCTTCTCGTCATCCAACCCCCCACCTCCTCTTCCTCACCCCCCAACCTTACTCCCCCTACCCCCACATCACCGTTGAGTCTGTTGGATGCTGATCTCAACTGTTTTTCCCCATTTCTTAAATTTTTTGTAAAAAAAGTTATTATTTTTATTACTGTTCTAATCATTTTCTAATGCTATTAGTGTTATCATTAACATAAGTGTTATTAAAGCATTATTGACAACAATGAAAGCTTTTCTCTATGAAACTTCAAGAAATTAGGTAAAGAAATTTAGGTCAGGTGGGCCTAGTAATTGACTCCTTGGTGACTCAGTGCCTCTGAGGCTAACTGTGTGTAAACAAGATTCATAAAACAGATCCACAGTGAACGTTGCATGTACACTTTGCACTCCTGGCATCAATGAGAGGAGTTTGATTTACTGTTTCTTTGACATGTAAGGATGACTACTCTCTCTCTTTCGCTCCCAGATATTTTTCTCTCTCTCTCTCTCTCTCTCTCTCTCTCTCTCTCTCTCTCTCTCTCTCTCTCTCTCTCTCTCTTCTCTCTCTCTCTCTCTCCTCTCTCCTCTCTCTCTCTCTCTCTCTTTTTCTCTCTCTCTCTCTCTCTTTTTTTATATTTTTTTTCTCTCATTTTTTTTTCTCTCTCTGTCTCTTCTCTCTTCACCCTTCACTCTCTCTCTCTCTTCTCTCTTCTCTCTTCACTCTTCACTCTTCACTCTTCACTCTTCACTCTTCACTCTTCACTCTCTCTTTCTTCACTCTTCACTCTTCACTCTCTTCACTCTCTCTCTCTTCACTCTCTCTTTCTTCACTCTCTCTCTCTTCACACTCTCTCTCTTCACTCTCTTTCACTTCTCTCTCTCTCTCTTCACTCTCTTTCATCTCTCTGCTCTCTCTTCACTCTCTTCTCTCTTCACTCTCTCTCTCTCACTCTCTCTCTTCACTGCTTCACTCTCTCTCTTCACTCTCTCTCTCTTCACTCTTCACTCTCTCTCTCTTCACTCTCTCTCTCTTCTCTCTCTCTCTCTCTCTCTCTCTCCTCTCTCTCTCTCTTCACTCTCTCTCTCTCTCACTCTCTCTCTTCTTCTCTCTCTTCTTCACTCTCTCTCTCTTCACTCTCTCTCTCTTCACTCTCTCTCTCTTCACTCATCTCTTCACTCTCTTCTCTCTTCACTCTCTCTCTTCACTCTCTCTCCTTTCACTCTCACTCTCTCTCTTCACTCTCACTCTCTCTCTCTTCACTCTCTCACTCTCACTCTCTCTCTCTCTCTCTCTCTCTCTCTCTCTCTCTCTCTCTCTCTCTCTCTCTCTCTCTCTCTCTCTCTCTCTCTCTCTCTCTCTCTCTCTCTCTCTCTCTCTCTCTCTCTCTCTCTCTCTCTCTCTCTCTCTCTCTCTCTCTCTCTCTTCTCTCTCTCTCTCTCTCTCTCTCTCTCTCTCTCTCTCTCTCTCTCTCTCTCTCTCTCTCTCTCTCTCTCTTTCTCCTCTTTCTCTCTCTCTCCCTCTCTCCCTCTCTCCCTCTCTCCCTCTCTCCTCCCTCCCTCCCTCCCTCTCCTGCTTTTTTCACATTTTCATGTATCATACTCATGCATTGCTTTTTTTCAATCAATATAAATTTTTTTGGTAAAATTTGGAAAAGCAGAAGTTGTAAGATGAATATTTTTTGCTGATTCTTATATAATCATGAATGAAGGGTGACCCACTTCAAGCTGCGAATGACTAAACATACAATATTGCATAAGTAGCTGTAGTATCACGTAACATATGAAGTTTTAGTGTCTCTGTTACGAAGTCACTTTTGGTTATTGTTATTCTAAATCATTCCAACTTCTTATTGTGTTGTTGGAGCATGAAGTTGTAGACTTTGTTGAATAAATGACTGTTGTATGATTTAGGGCATGCTTTGTAGGATTTCTAGGCCTGTGTTATGTGTACTGGCAGTAAGCTTAGCTATAGGGGACATAATCACACACCATTTTGCTGTAGACACTAAAAGTTTTTATTTATTTTTTGTTGGAAAAGATTATGTAAATTAGATATAGAACATACAGTAAGTTTGGTTTCTTAGTTTATACTGAAATATTGACTCAAGATGTACAGTTCAGTAATGTTTAGGTGAAGTCTGATGGTTTTATTTGGTCCATACAAGTGTTGCCTTTTGCTATTGAGTGCCTTTTTCTTGAAGCTTACTAAGCCTCCATTACTTGAGTATGTATTCCCTGTCCCCAAATGTAGTGTTACTGTTTTTCATGGCAAAGACCCAAATGAGAGTCCTGTGAATGGCAAAGAAATGAGTGTTTGTTTATTCCATTGTATTTCTTTATATCCCTAGTTGTTTTTTGCTACTTATTCATTTACTGAAGTTGCAGCCTTAGACTCTGTTTTCTCTCAGTCTGAAGAAACGCATGAGAGTCATGTCTGACAGTCAGGTTTTTGATGGTTGCAGAATGATTGGCAACTTGCAGAGAAAGAGTATGTCACTCAGGTGGGATTTCAGTGATTGATCTCTGACAGGCAAAGTGTGCCTCTGCAACAGCCTATGCATCTTAGCCTCTCTTTGCACTGCCACATGATGGCGAAAAGGCAGCAAAGAAAACTGAAGTTGTTTCAGACATTTCTCTTATTATTATTTCCAAAGAGTATTTACATCATTGATGTGAATAACATCCATGTCTTTTATTGATTATAGTTTTAATACAGATTCAGACGGAAATGAATGATGTTATATCAGCAGGGTTCCACTATTCAGACTCATCCCTGGTCCCTGTACTACCTCTAGTGGCCCTGCTTCCAGCTTTGTTACATCATACTTGCACTGTACCAGGCTGGGCTTACAAGCATTTTAATGGTGTTATAACATCATACTAATATTAAAGAAATTTCTAAGCATACTCCATGATTGGATTGTCTAGTTCCCCAGATAGTGCACTGATACCTGCTCTAAAAGCGGTAATCCTGGACTTGAGTCTGCTTCCAGAGTCTTATTAACCCACTGGCTGCGGATGGCATCATATGATGTACCGTGCAATTAAAAGCTGATCCCGTTCGAGCAGCGGGCGGCCGCGCGGCATGGGAGCTGAGTGGGCCAGGGAATATCAGCCGCCAAGCCGGCATTCCCCTTGCGGCCTTACAGGGCCCAGGCCCACCACCCCCGGGCCCGCGTGTGCGATGGGCTGTTTACCGCCAAATGAGTTGTTCGCCTATTGCGCGTGCTAAAACCACACCCGCCACTCTTTCTGAGCGCATTTACATATGTTTGCATGTTTGCATGTATTTGCAAGGGTTTTTGCAAATTTTTGCATACATATTTTTTCGCAGATATAAGTAAACAGAATATTTGCGCGAAAGAGGGAAGGCAGCACCACTGCGCGCGCGCACACTCAAGTGCGGTCCCATACGCCACCCAAGTTGAAAATAATGAAAATTAGGGGATTACGCGCCATATTGCATAACACCGCGACCAATGGGTTAAAAGGCTTGTGGAACCTTGTCTTTAGCAAATCAAACACCAGGATTGTTACATGTTTAAGGCCAAGAATATGTATGCAAAGTAGGGGTGTTCAGACTAAAAGCTTATGTTTATGTCACAGAATGGTAGGGAAGGATGCAAAGGAATTGTAAGCATATGGTACATCACATCTCTTTTTGATAGTTCTTTACCATTCAACAAGCAAATGGTCCTTGCAAGTTGAATGAACTTGTCCATCAATTATGTACAGACATATAAGAAGAGACATGAATAAGATTTTTTTCCAGTAATCGTAGATTTATGAATGAAAGTTGAACCTCTGACAATAAAATGGAAAAATACCAAATTAAAAAGTTGAATTGTATTGCCCTGTGATGTAATTCATTCTTATTATTTAGCCTGAATTTATTTCTTTATTGCAAAATTCTCTTAATGACATTGCTCAACTCTAATGGGGCGTTTCATTATTTCAAGCTGTATACTGTGGTGAAGACTGTTGTTGGTATGGCTTTCATATTTGTACTT